TTTTTTCTCCGATATTATCGATAATATCGTCTACGATGTCTAAAAAAAGTCTAAAAATGTCTAAGTTAGACAGGTCTGTCTGGGCAACTATTGCAACTGTTCGTTTTTTTCCTATATTATCGATAATATTGTCTAACAATGTCTAAAAATGTCTAAGTAAGACAGGTCTGTCTGGGCAACAATTGCGACAGTTTGTTTTTCTCCGATATTATCTATAATATCGTCTAACAATGTCTAAAAAAGTCTAAAAATGTCTAAGTTAGACAGGTCTGTCTGGGCAACTATTGCGACAGTTCGTTTTTCTCCGATATTATCGATAATATCGTCTAACAATGTCTAAAAAAGTCTAAATGTCTAAGTTAGACAGGTCTGTCTGAGCAACTATTGGGACAGTTCGTTTTTCTCCGATATTATCGACAATATCGTCTAACGATGTCTAAAAAAGTCTAAGAATGTCTAAGTTAGACAGGTCTGTCGGGCAACTATTAGGACAGTTCGTTTTTCTCCGATATTATCGATAATATCGTCTAACAATGTCTAAAAATGTATAAAAATGGGTTTATAGTGGCATAAACTACTAAAAAAGGTAATTTACCCGGACAGCGATTTGTCGAGAAATAAATGTTTTATTATAATCATCCAGGATTTTTTTAGTCTGAACAATTATATTCCCCGTATTAATATAGCCGAAACGTTCGTCCACTGATTATAATTAAAAAAAAATGCGTCCAAGCATTACGTTGAACGTTGAAAACATTCGAAGGGAATGACTTAATTTTACCTTTCCCACGTTCAGTTAATTTGAATATGAATTACAGAATTAATTAATTATAAACCTCAACAAATACTTTATCTTTCTAAGTATAAACAGATAATCCTTGACAACTGACAGCGTAACGAAATATATTTACTCAAGAACGATCGGATTGCGCTAGTGGCGGACTTAACAGAAGTACATAACAATGCCACGTATAGTATAAACTAAATGTTTATTTACGTACTTTAATAGATAGATAAAATGTGTTAATGCTACTATTGTCTCAGTGAAAACAGGACAAAAAAGTTTAATAGTGCAATTTAGTTCACGACTTGCCGCGTAGAGTATAAATAAAAAGTTTATTTACGTACTTTAATAGATAGATAAAATGTAAAATG